ATATATATATATATATATATGTCACGATCCAAAAATAAACATGATTTTTCCAGCATTTTCAAGTGGGATTGAGTTTTTTTTTCTTTTATTAATTAGGTCAGGTATTGAGGGTAAAAATGGCATCAAAAAAAAATATGACCTCAAGAGAGGTCAAAAAACCTACCTCCGAAGGTTTAATTTTTTAGGGCTAAAAAAATTATTAAATGTAAATCTTCAAATTTATTTATTTATTTATTTTTAAAACTTATCTCCGAAGGTGTTTGAACATATGATTTGGTATTAATATTTGAAATCACGGTCTCAATTTATTTTTTAAAAGTAAAATTTGACCTATAAATTTGTACTTGTTTATTATAAGACCCGTTATTTCATTTAAATCAAAAGAGACTTATGTTCGACATAAAAAAAATGTATGTACTATATGAAATGACTATATTAAAAAGTAACTAGTTACTACTAATATTGACCAGTAATCTTTATGAAAAAAATTTTAATTAAAATTTGTGATTAATCGCAAACATCTATTGATTAAAAAATATGAAAGGTATGTGATTTTTCATACTATACTATGATTACTTTAGGACATTCTATCTATACAGTATAATGAGTTCGAATTCTTGAGAATTAATTAGAGCATTGTTTATTTATAAAGATTTAAGGGGGGGGGGGGGGATTTATTTTACTTCCCAACATAAATAAAATAAAATCAATCATAATTAGAACATTACATTTATAAAAGAAGAAAACAATTTTTTTTAAAAAAATCAGTAATCTAACTTTTGAAAGTGTTTGATAAATATAATAAATAATTTTAACTAAATCAAAAAATTAACTTAAAATAAATTAAAAAACATTTGACAAGGTAAAAAAATGACTTAAAATAAGTTAAAAATAAAAAATAAATTTGATTTGAAAAATCATAACAGTTTAACCTTTTATTTTGAGTTAAATATTAATTTTACAAAGTCAATTTAAACCGACTCATAATCAATCAATATTATCTATATACATTGTCACAATTAAGAAACACTTGAAGAGTAAAAAATATACTACTTTGCTTAATAAACTTAAGTACTTAATATGGAGAAGGCTTTGTTGATTGTTTTTGCTAGCCACTTCTTTAATCTCTTTATCTGGTTAGTCTCTCTTTATTTTTAATTTTTTTTTAATGAACGTTACTCAATTTTTCTTTTACATTTAAATATAATTTATCGTAATTATTGTAAAAAAAAAAATCGACATCAATATTGTATAAGTACAAACTTTGCCTTGATCTTTACATCTCCAAATGTCGGTACAATTTTTTCTCTTTTTCACTTCATAATGCTCATAATTATAAGAGCCATTAAAAATGACTAAAATGTCATAAAAAGGGGACTATTCGAGTTAGTGATACATGCAAGAACACTTTTCGGCCAAGTCCCATTAATTGATCACAATGAGTGGCGGACTTATGATTTCCGTTCAGGAGTTTGAAAAATAAAAATATAAACATGTAAATAAGTCTTTCGAAATAAGATTTTTGAATTTTTTTTTGGGTTTAAAACTACATTTTTAGCTTTTTTTTAAGAGGGAAAATGCACAAATACCCTCCCAACCTATGCCCGAAATCTCAAGACACAATTATACTATACTAAGGTCCTGTTACCCCCTGACCTTATTTTATAAATAATTTTCCATCCCTTTTAGGCTTACGTGACACTATCTTGTGGGGCACAGTGCTTGTTGACATTTTTTTTTCAAGCTAATATGTAGGCGACTTGTCACTGAGACATCTATTTCTATTTATTATTGAGGGGTTCAATATAAATACATCTACAAAAATATAAAAAATTTACCTTATATATATCGTATATTTTTTTGCCGAGGAAATTCAAATGAACCCCCAAATCCAACTTGAATCCGCCCCTGATCACAACGATATTATATCGTCCATATATATTGAAACGCAAAAAGAATTAACCATCCAAAAAACAAAGATAATACTCGAAAAGGTAAAATATTTTTGATATATATATATATATATATATATATATATATTATAA